CTGCAGAGACTAAGTACTGGTATTGTACCTTACTGTCTGTGGCAAGGTGAAAGATTAATACAGCTCACCTGTCTGGTGGTACAGGAGTCCCCTCAGGGGGAGGAAGGAAAAGAAGCCAAGACCCAAGTTAGCTCTGGTATCTTGGTGGGACAGGAGGTAAAAGAAATCTTGTGGGAGGGAGACCTAGAAATGCCAAGTGGAGCTTCTGCATTTTGTTACAGGTTCCTCTTTTACCTTCTTCTTATTGTTGCGCCCCAGGGGATCCTTTGTAAAAGGACAGGAAGGTCAGAGCAGCTAGCTTTATTCGAGGGCTGTATTTGTGCTGGATGTGATGACTATTAAATGGTACCTATTAAAGTAATTAAAGATTTCCAGTGGAACTCTGTCAGGATACTCTTTGTATCATTTGTGCCCAGCTGCTTATTGGGAGGGAATAGAAAAGACAGAATCAGACTCTAGTCACTGTACAGTGACAATATGAGAGACAGTGGGCAGAAGCTGCAAGGTGAGAAATTCAGATTAAACATTCAGATTTTCTTTCCTCTGTGTGGTCCAATGGTGTAATAGGCTGTTGAATCTGCATCTGGACAAGGCCCTGGGCAAATCTGATTTTGTTGCATCTGCTCTTTGTGGGCAATTGGGTGACCTCCAGACAACCTTTTCAACTTAAAATAATCTATGCTCATTAAAAGCAAATATAGGCAAGCTTTAAAAACTACTGTTCTGTCTTATGTTTTAATTAATCTAAGATTACTTAGGGCTTATCTTTGTTTTTCCTGTAACTGTCAACAATAATATTGAGTTCTGTGACATTACACTTTTTGTAACTATTAAAAAGCTAATCCTCCATTCATTACAACGTTATTTTTTTTACCAGCGCTGTAAGCTGTGGCACAGTTTGTTCCACGTAGGAACAAACTTGTTAACAAACTTATCCATATTCTACCACGTAAGAGAAACCTTAGGTGACAATATAACTGCATTTCTATTGGCCTGCAGACTAAACTGGCCATTTACCTCTATGTGCATAATCTATTTGTGTCCATGATGAATTTTTTTCATAGCATCCCATGTGGGGAGATGCTTTGTTGTCTGATGGTCTGTGAAATCTGCTGTATTTACAGGAATATGAATTCTGAAATTAGTATTCTAAAATTGCAACGAAGTAGGACTTTAACATTTCCTGGTGGGTTTAAATTAATAGGAGGGAGAAACAGGATTTGTTGGACTTTCACTCTTGGTCATGTTTAATAAACTTAACAATAAACCCTCCTGATAAGCCAGGCTTTAAACTATTTCATAGCAACTGCTGTGTTTCTCTTGCCCATCTGAACAAACTGTCGGACGCTTGAATTGGACCATTTTGGTTCTTAAGATGACAGTAAGCTTCTACACATGGCTCTTTGATGTAAAGATAGCCAACTTTTGACACTGGATTCCAGTCTGAACTGAAATGGGGCAGTCTTTCACTAATTCTCACTTAGCTGTAACCATTTAAAGTTCTTTGCCCTTGAGGACTATTTAATCTTGAAAGCAGCATGCAATGGATGATCTCAATCATATTTATATCGTCTTCCATACTCAGACTATTTAAATCTGTATTGGGTATGTTAGTAATACCAGATGGTTTTAGATAGCTTTTGCTGTAAAATGAAAATTAATGGCAGTAGACAGGCAGGAACCTTCTTCTGGCAGTATTTCAGCTGACCTATCAGTGCCATTTCTCCCATGACTCCATTTATGGGGAAAATGGATTCCTTCCTGTTCTCAGGCATGCATTCCAGCTCCAGTGCTTGCTCAGCCTGCTCTGTATCCCTGGGTGCTCCAGCAGGGAGCTGGCCGTGTCCTTCAGAAGGCATGGGGATTAAACATAGGCGACAGCAGCGAAGAAGCACGCTGCAGCTTTAGGCTCTCTGAATTTCCCAAATACAGCAGAATTGGCAGCTGAAGAGGAAACAGTCACTTCTGAGGCTGAGGCTTCCTTACCACTGAAACAGGTCCTGCTACAGCACTGTGGAGGAATATTTGATATGTGCTGACTGTTAGCACACAGCACTTTTGAGTTTGACTATCTATTGTTATTTTATATCTTTATTTTTGGCAGGTGGCCACATAGTTTCTTTGTCAGAACAAAGGCAGAGGCTCTGTGTGCATCTGGAATTGCATCTAATTTGGCTTTCAATGTGCCCCTTAGTTTTGAGCTAAACCTTTTCCATAAGGTGACCAGACATGGCATATAGAAAGGTCATCCCCTTCTTTCTCTCTTGCAGCAAATGAAGAAATACATTTCAAAACAGGTCTATCTCGCTAATTCAGTTTATTTGTCTCAAGCTGCATAAGCATTTACTTAACGATGTGCTCTTTATTACTGGGGAGGGAATGTGGAATCCTCTATTTCTGAAGAAATCTACACTGAGACTGCTGGCTGTGAAGATGCAAGTAGGCTGGCTGGTTGTTGTCCCCTTAGTCTGGAGAGGGAGTATGTTTTGGGTGGAACATCTAGACAGCATGTATTTCTTCTCCTTAGTCTGCTTCTGGAGAGGTATTTTTAGCTTAAAAAAACCCTTAAATGTTAGGAGGCTTGGAAACAATACATTAAAAAATTGCAAAAATCATTTTAACTTTCATACATGCATTTCAGATTGTTTTGGGAATTCTTGAAATGTTAAGGCTATTTCTGTGTACTGTACAATAACACTCTACACACAAGTGATCCTAGGTTTCTAAGCCTTCTAATTACAACACTAATAAAATTATCATTATTCCCCTTTCTCCCCCTTCCCCTCTTTTTAAAGAAGAGGAGAACCCAAGCATAAAGAAGTAATGCCAGTTTGTAGCTGAAGTAGCAGCTAGAGAGAATGGGTTAATGTTGGCTTTGCTTTTTTTTGGGGGGGGGGGGGGGGGGGGTTGGGTGTTTGGTTTTTTGTTTTTTTAGGGCAGTGCAAGCACGTTTTAAGTTTAACAGCTTTTTAGAGAGGATTATTTTAAAAACCAACCAAAAAAACCCAAACAATCCACCCCAAACAAACCAACCTGTCCTGAAGAAAGTGATTGCTTTGTGTTGCTTTAGCTTCCTCTTTCTCCTTAGAGAACATCTGGCCAACATTTTGTTCTCTTTGTGTGTGACTTGACAAGAGTGCTTAGTTGTTTTCTGATGTACGGTGTGCGTGCATGAGGTACAGTGTCCGCATGGCAGGGCTCTGGATTCCAGATGAGATGACCCCTGTAAATGCCCATCTTCAGTGGAGATGAACTTTTATTAACCCGTTTGCTTTATATATCCAACATAGACAAAAATGTAGTTGATGAAAGAGAACTTTAAAGATTAAGTTATGTTTATTTTAGATGTCTGCTGCTCTGGCTTCAGGTTAGTGCCTATAGCATGTGAACTTCTTGAGCCCTTAGGCTGATAAAGCTGTCACCATGATCACAGCAGGCTTGTATTTCTTCTTCTAGATAAAAAAGGAAGAAATAATTTCATGTCCCTCTGTCCATCCCTGCAGTGGCAAGCAGTAGCTTAATAGCTGCCAAAGCATCTCTTCTCCCTAAATAGCCAGTAATCTGCAGGAAAGTTTTTTGTAATTTCCTCAGGGATGTCTAATGACTGTGGAGGCAGTGATCCTTCAAATTATAAAGTAACTGAAAATATGGTCTTCCCTGCATCTTATCATGTGTTCTGTGTTGATCAAGTGGTTTGAATAATTTGTTCCTTCACTTTGGACAGAAACAAGTTGAAAGTTGAGCTGTTTATATCCTTGTACGTACACAATAGCAGTATGACTTCTCAGAGTAAATCACAAACTTCTTAACATATCTAATTAACCCTGGCATTGTATTATTGTTGCCAGAACTAAGATTAGTACCAGATCTTGTCAGCTCTAGCTCACTTTCCATTCATGGTAAAAGCCAAACTGGAGGCGAGTTTTCTCCTTTGCGATGACCATCGCTCCCACTGCATCTACCCACAGCTAACTGGGAGTGCTCCTCATGCTGCTGGAGCGGTGGGTGGGAGCGTGGGGATGGGTTCCCCTCTGCATGTTAGGCATGAGCCTGCACACCCAACTGTGGCCACAGTTCCATGGTCCTTCATCCGTCTGATTTAAAAGCAACATTCCCCAAAGGTTTAAAGAGCTGGAGTGAGGCATTTTAAATTTACTGTGTTATATGAATGCATAACTTACGGTGCTTGGTGTCTATTTTTCACCTCAAACTTCCAGTGGCTGTTACTCAGTTAAATTTGCTGATGTGTTGATATATTGTGTGAATACCTGGCCTTTACTCTGCACTGGTTTTTGTATTCTCTCGTATTTCCTCTGCATTATGAATTGGTCGTCTGTCCTTTTAATCTTTTCGCGTGAAACCCTTTGCATATCACTTATGGTCATTGCTTTTGCTAGCTGTGCTGTTGCTCTTTCTCCTTGGAAAGTAAGCTGGTATTAGTCCAGCTGAAATGTAATTATAAAGGGTATGTTCTGCTCTCAATCACTATCAGAGTAGTCTCAAAGATACTCAGGAATATTAGACTAATCACTTAGATGTTTTCTTTATTCTTATCAGATGCCTGGGTTAGTGCATATAAATGTGGGATCTGTTTATTTCTTGATCTCCTGTATTTTGCCAAGTCATATACTGCAAATCACTTTGTCCTGAGCTGGATTAAATGTCCTTTGACTTGAGGTCTTATGGCCTCACTCGCTATGGTTTCACAGCCACAGACCTAAGGAAGGGCTGCAAAGAATCTGCTTCTTCCCTTGTGTGAAGCTTGCAGAGCAAGCTGGGCTAGGGAGTCAAGTCACCAGAAAAATACTCGGGTTTGGGTAAGGCTAATTTTCTGCCTGCTAGCTCAACCCTATGAACAGGCTTGTTCGAACACTGTCACTTACGTAGGTATAACAGAAAGGTGAGTGGACCCCAAAATGCTGTCCTATAAAGGCAGCAGTAAGATCATTCATGCAGTATATTCCTTGAAGCTGACTGTAGTCATCTTGCTCTGTACACAGATGGGCCTGGGCCACGAGCAAGGATTTGGTGCCCCCTGCTTAAAATGCAAGGATAAGTGTGAAGGATTTGAGCTTCATTTCTGGAGGTAAGTGACACCAGATGACTCTTAAGCTGTGACTCAGCACTGCAGATCTTGGCACATGTGTGCAGATGTGTAAGTAACTGCTTTTGTTCTCTCTTTCAATTAAACTATTCAGATGCTTTAAAGAAGCTGTGTCTAGGTTCAGGGCCAGGGCTTCTCAGCTGCACTACAACAGAGTGCTTAAGTATGTAATCATTTAGAACATATGTTTCATCTGCACTGAAGTCAATGGTAGTACTTCTACTGAAGCATTTGCTCTAGCTTAATAAACAGTTGAAGTAGGTTTGTAAAAACATCTCTATCCCTACAGTAAGAGAGATGATGGGGAAGGAGTGTGCTTTATCTCAGTAATAAAATGCTTTCTCGGCTCCTGACCAAATACATAAGCTTTGATCTGAGATTTTAGGTAAAAATTATCTTATCTATGTTGAAAAGATGTTGAAACTTTGTATACATCTACAAATGACTTAGAGGGGGAAGAGGTGTCATAATTCAAGTAAGTTAGATAGTACTTGGCCTTGGATGATGCACTGTTCCTAAACCAGTAGGAGCTGATGATAGTTGCAGTAAATAGGCTGTGCTGTAGTCTGTGCCATTACTTCTGCAGAAATTTTGTATTCCATTAAGACTTTTCTTGTCTTACTGAAGCCTTAAAGTATATGTCTAGCTAGCTCAGTTCACTGATTATACTGGGTGTACTTTAAGATATAGCTTAGTGATTCTGACTTCTAAAAAAAAAAATCCCTCTTAAAGGGAACAGCCTGCAAAGGACGTAAAAAATAAATGTTAGTAGCACTCGCGCGTGCTGGCAGTGACAACAGTTACATTTCACCAATGCTATTTAGCTACAGGCATAACTGTATCTGCAGTAGGGTTTTATTTTGTGGGGTTTTTTTTAAGGTAGTCTTTACATCCCAGCCAGAGTGGCATCAGGCATCATCTACTAGGAGATTTTACATTTTTACCTAAGTATTTGATGCAGCTGAGACTCAATTTAGAAAATAACCAGAGAAACAGACCACAGCAAAAACTTGCTGTAAGTTGATAAGGATATAGTTTCTCAGTTATGTATCTCTAATGTATAACTATAGAAACAACTTGCAAATTTTTGGAAAAATTCTTTTTCAATATGCAATCAGTCATTGAGGGGACTTGTGTAGAGGTACTAGAAAAACAGAACACAGTTAATGTGTGTAGGTAATTCAATAAAACAGAATAAAATTTTTTGCAGGAGTAAATAGTGTTGTTTATCCATGGTTAGATGAGAAATTATGTCACTTCCTACTTGAGAGAAAGGTCTCTGTTTAGAACCAGTGTGGGGAAGAAAAAGTTACTAGGTCAATTAACTCTTTCTCAACCCTTCCTTTTTGTCCTCTTTTTCTTAGTTCCTATTATCAAGAGACCTTGTAATTCCTAGCTTATTCTTCAACAGAGAAGAACTTGGGATAAAAAGATATAAAATGTCTGAAGTTAGTTAGTCATGTAATAGCATGTTTACTGACTAGAATGTGTCTGCTTCTGTGTGTGTATTTGGAGGCTTTTGTGTGTGTTTTTCTTTATACTCGTTTCACTATGCTCCTGTGGTTAGGGCTCATTGTGCCAGGTTCTGAATACATAGCTTGTCAGAGCACTGTCTGTCCTAGAAAGCCTGTAGGTAGCAGTGGATTAAAAAGCAAGAAAGAAAAAGATGTAAAAGCAGTGGCTGTTTAGTTAAGATTAAGGTTTAATTTGGAAATATAATCAATATAGGATAGACCAGGTAAATAAGGTGGCTGAAAGTAGTCTGAGAAGTGTCTTCTAGGTGTCAGACAAATGTGGGACATACCTCTGAAGTAGTTGAAAAGTTAGCCATTGAGGCAATTCAAGAATGTGTTAGAAAACAGCTGTTTCTCCAGTGGAGCTGTAGCGGGAACAGGAAGGGTGTGAATCTGAAGTCTGAAATCAGTCTTGTGTAAACAGTTTTCAAAGGAAAAAATATATTAATATACTTTGCATGATACAGAGATTTTGGGATTCTACCACTTGAACAGAAAGGGATGGATCCCTAATACCTCTTCGCTTAGTCATGTTAGCCTCAAAATCTGAAACTATTTTAAGTAAACTTTTATAAAATAGTTTCTGTTCAATTCTATAGCAGAATTGAACAGAATATAGTCTTTGACATGAATGATCAGGAACAGTTCAAGCTTAATCACAAATTTCACTATTGTGTCTCTGTAAAAGACAGCTGTTGAAGTAGGGATTGTGGTTAGAGAAACTGTTTCAAGTTGGGAAGAATAACTGGTGGGTTGACTCCAGCCAGCAGCCAAGCACCCACACAGCTGCTGTCCCCTGTCCCCTCACAGCGGGGTGGGGGAGAAAAAAGGAAGAATAAAAGTGAGAAAACTCATGGGTTGAAATAAAGTCAGTTTAACAGGTGAAGGAAAGGGGGGGGGGGAACCCCAAGTGATGCAAAGGCAGTCACTCACCACCTCCCACCAGCAGACTGATACCCAGCCAGTCTCCAAGCAATGGCCACTTTGGAAGTCAGAAACCTTGCCTTCTTTGTCCTCTACCCCCATCTTATTGCTAAGCATGACATTACATGGTATGAAGTATCCCTGTGGCCAGTTTGAGTCAGCTGTGCCCCCTCCCAGCTTCTTGGCCACCCCCAACTTACTTGCTGAGGTGCAAATAGAGTCCAAAAAAGAGAGAGCTCTGGCACTGTGCAAGCACTGCTTAGCAATAGCAAGTGTTATCAACGCTGTTTTAGCCACAAATCCAAGACACAGCACCAAACGGGTACTAAGAAGAAAGGTACCCGGATGTCAGCCAGACCCAGTACACTAAGCGAGGCGGTAGTTATGTTGCAGCATGGGCAGGCTGCAGTCCTTGCTGCGATCTGTGTAAGGGTGACACTGCCCTCTCCTGACTGGAGCTGAGGAGCTTCAGCAGGTCACGTAATTCTTGTTCCCTGGTCTCATACATGAAAACTCTGGTGTACCTCAAAGAGCTAGGTGTAATTTCTCTGTGTTTCTACACAAAAGAGCCTCAATTCTGCCTTTGGGGAGTCAGATTGGAAAGTGCACGAAAAAATCCAAGCATACTTATCTGGTAGCAAGGGTTTACACGGGGCTGCTACACCATTCTTGTCTATATGGGGAGTGTTTGGAAGATCTCTTCTGTGGTAGCAAGTGCTCTTTAAGCACTTTGTGCTATAATTCTTGGCACAGTGTGTGGGATGGTTATATAGGTGCAGAACTGTTAATTTGGGCTAGTATAGAAATAGTGGTAAACAAAGCCCTTGGTATAATCTGTTCCTAAATTTTGAAGTTCTGAAAGCTTCAGTGTTGTGAGCAGAATACAAAATGAATACAATGAGAGCCACGGTCTACAATGGTAGCTGAACAGTGAACAACTACCTGCTTTATCTTAGTGTGTTAATAGCTTCTGCTTTTAAAATTGTCCTCAGAATCATGCTTCCATCCAAGCGTAGCAGCAGCAGGCAGGGTGTTCTCAGTTCAGGTGTTAGACTTCTTTCAGACTGCAAAACTGCCTCTGCAAAATTAGCAGGGCAGGCTGGCTGTAAGAGCAAACATTTATCCGAGTTGCAGTCTCTTAGGGAATGTGTTTCCCGCTAGAGGGAGATGTGGGACAGGAGTCAGAAGTTGCTAAAAGCAGGAGGGAAGGTTCTGATTTATCTTGGTCATGTATATACTTCTGGTACTGGTATTGTCTCTGGTGCGGCTTGCCAAGATATTAAAAGGCTTTTGGAGACAAGAATCTTAAGCTTGGGAATGACCATTTTCAGCATCTGGCTTCTTTGCACATATACAATCCCTGGAAGGCAGAGAGAGCTTTAAGTTGGCTTTAACATTTTCTGGTACTAAGGCTGTCAAGCAAGTACTGAGGCACAGTTCAAAGCATTTGCAATTACTATAGCTGCATTAAGAGCAAGAAAACATAACAGAAGGAATCATGGGAAGAGGCTTGTCTTTCTGTATGGAGGACACAAGGGTCGGGACTTGCCAGGTATTTATTGAGAGCTCCTTTGTGCTTGCAGCTGCCTCCCCCTGTCACTAGGAGCCACTGCAAAGCCGGTGTAGGAAGGGTCATGATCTGAATTATTCTTCCTCTCCATGCAACAAAACATAGAAAAGTAGGAGGATTGATGACACTTGGTTTTGGAGAAGAAACTGTAAGTCTTTGATCCCTGCTGTCAGTAGAAATCCAGGACACAGGAATTTGCCAGCATGGGAAAGAGGATGTAATCTGCTTACCTTCCTTCTTTCTACCCACCCAAGACCGGGAAGCAAGACACAATATACGAAATCTGGCTTTTACAGTGACATGCAACTTTTAATTCCACTAATTTTGAAGTTTCGTCCCTATCGTCCATGTTTTAAATGGGAAAAGTTTCCCAAACTGCTGAGGTTTGGCTGGAGGAACATTCCTCTCCTTTGTTGAAGTCCCGAGAGCTGTGAACACATAAGCAGGAGTCTCTAGTAGCTCCTTCAGTAGGGATCTTGCTGGATGTCCTCAAGTGAAGGGAAAATCTCTTTGACAATGCAGATGGAGAGAACAAGAAATTCTCCCTGCCTGTCTTCTAGATAAAGCCAAAAGAGATAAATCTAAGCCTATACATATGCAAACACATATATACACACGTATATTACAGCATCTGGTTTTCCTAGCGCACATGAGGTCTTTGCTTTAACATCAAAAATAAAGCATTGGTTATCAGACCAACTTGTGAAGTGTAAGTTTGAGGTAATGGGACAGGGTCACTTCAGTAAGATAGCTGTATCGGAGCCAAAGAAATGACCAGCTGATCTATTCTGGATAGGAGTAATTGGCCATATCCCTTCTGCAGAAGGGACAGTGACTAATGGGCAGGACTCTGATGTGCTACTTAGTGGAAGAAGGTATGACTAAATTGTAAGCAGTGCTCTGCAGGAAGTGTTATGTGTGTAAATGTCAATTGGATATCTTCTAGGACTGGAAATTATTCCAGAAAAGGGATTATAAATCAGAAGAGGAAACTGTTTTTTTGGCTGTTAGCAATGTGCAGACATCTTCTGGTGGCTGAGATCCAGGGGAGCACTGAGGAGCAGGGGAAATGGCAACAGCCTCGGGGATTTTCCTGTGACTTACTGGGATATGTTGATGTCAGTTGTGACTTGGCATTCTCCACCTTCTTTCTGGATTGTTTTCTCCTGTATTTGGAGACTTAATTATCCACAAGCTCTAATGCCAGGGCCACTGCAATTGTAATTCTGTAACATAGGCACTGTAACAGCTTCTTGCAAACTGCATATAGGCAAAGAGTCATTCACATAATCTTGAAAGAGCAAGGAGATAACACTAGGCTGAAATGTACACAGTCAAATTCTTAATTTAAGTAAGTCTGGAGTGGGGGGAGGTTAGTGAGTATCTCATTCACATCAGTGTAAGTATAAAGCAAGTAGTTTTATGTCAGTTTTCACAGTGGGACTCAGGAAGGACCTGAGGACAAGTTGTATGCTTTCACTTCGCAAGTATCTGTTCATCTGTTTATCAGGACAACAGAATCTCTCACCGATACTGAAATTGGTGAAACATGTTAAGCCTTCAAGGTGGAACTGAGGATAAAAGCAATTGAATCGGGGTTCTTTCCTAGTTGGAAACAGAAACAGGATCTCAAAGCTGTTCTGTATTCTGAGAGAAGTCTCTACTAGAAAATAGATATGCAATTTCATGATGTAGCATGAACAAAAATAAGGTGCCCTTGTGGCTTTTCCAGCATGTGTGAAAGTCTCAGGGGAAGAATTCCACGACAGCTTGTTGGGGATGGTCTGGTCTCTGCAGGCTGTCGACGCTGCTTCACTGTACTTGGATGCTGTACAGCGTGGGGAGATCTGCACAAACTATCACGCTGCTATTGTGACCACACAGGTAGTACAACAATATGAAGTGTTCTTACTGAGTTCTGTTTTGCAAGCAGGGCAGTTCTGGACAGCAAGACTATACTTTATTTGCATGAGTCTATGCGGGTTACCTGAGAATGTCTCTGTTCACCAATGTTATTAGATTGCATCCTGTCAAGAGGCAAGACTAAAACTGGGGCTTACTGCTGCTAAGTTGAAAAGTGAAGGAAAATATCCGACAAACTATTTTTCAAATGGACTAACTGCTTGAATTCCAGTTACATGTGTGCTGTGAGGCATATGGCCGGACTTTAATCATTGATGTAATAATGAACTAAACCTGCAAAAAGTAAGGTCTGATACTTTCACCTAGTATTAGATCTCAAAAAAGACATGATTGAGAGTTGGTAACAAGGTGTACATATGATTATGCCTTAAAAGATGAACAAACAATATAAATTGCTTTATTAGTATATTAAATAGTCTCTAAGTATCAGCTAGGTAAAGGACTCATGTAGACTTGCTGAAGATCTGTTGTGGTTTAACCTCAGTTGGTAACTGAGCATCACGCAGCTGCTCGCTCACTTCCCCCACCCCCACCCCCCCGGTGGGATGGGGGAGAGAATTGGGAGAATAGAAGTGAGGAAACTCATGGGTTGAGATAAAAACAGTTTAATAATTGAAATAAAATAATAATAAACAAAGCAAATGATGCACAATGCAATTGCTCACCACTCGCTGACCGATGCCCAGCCAGCATTCATCACACACTGAGATGATAGTACTCCGCATAATAAATGGGTGTACATGTGTAGTGCATATCTTTGGGGCTGGCTGTGCGTCGCTTCGCATGACCAATTATATACAGGTCCTCCTTCTTCCTTCCTTTCCCATCACCTAATGGGCCTGCTGTAGTCATGGCATGTTCTTGTCATGTACTTGTTAGATGTCTTAAGATAAGGTATGTATCTTGCCTTCAAGACTTTAGAAAGCAAGATGCAGAACAATGTTAGAGTTCGATGGGTTTTGGCAAGCAGGGTTGAGAAGCATTTTATAGGATAGGTAGTAGTTTTATGCTATTTGCTATGTGAAGAGTAAATAATGGGGTAAAATATTACTCATTCCTCTTCAAACTCGAGATCCAGAGGGTTGATCTGTTTTCTTAGGTTATAATAAGAACCTTTAGTTAACATCCGACTTCACTAATTTCCATATGCTGTGGCTGACTGCTTTGAACTGAAGCTCTGGGGAAGCCATTAATAGATAGTAAACTAGTTTGTCTAATCCCAGGTTTTGTTTATTATATGTGAATTGTGTAATTATGCTTAAGGTAATAAATTGCTATCTAATATCCCTTAATCAAAGGTGTTCGAATGTGTTGTACATAAAAGAATACCATTTATATCTAAGTAAAGCCTTCTACCTTTTAAGGATGTTATCTGTGAAAATTCTCTGTACAGCATGTGCCAGCGTACCTCTGACTTGGCTCAGGGCCGTTTGAAAGGCTTTATCCATGTAAGCCTTTCACTTTTCTTTCATCTTCTCTTTTAAATGCCAAACTTTGAACAGAACTCTGTGCAATTGCATACAGCCATATATACTGTGTATTTTTTTTTCCTTTCTAGGAAATACTTGTTTCCACTTGATAGCAACCCTGTGATAACCAAATATCATGCATACGAAGAAAATAGTATAGTGTGTGTAATTTTGAGTGTATAAAGAGAACCTGAAAAACTAAGAGCCCAAATAAATGACTGCTGGGGGGGATCATGTTGATGCCTTTAAGCTAACCCATAATAAATCTGGTAGGTGTGTGATTAGTACTGAGATGTAACTGAAGGAATGATACAGCATCATATTCAAAATGCATTAATGTAGTTGGCTGATATCTATCTGATGATAAACTCTGTGAACAAAGAACATAAATAATACAACAGGAGAAATAAATAATATCCTCAAGAAGTGTTTGATATATTGCAGAATAACTTATATACTCCCTAATCAAAGCACTGAAAACAAGTTTTTGGGTTCCCAGTGATGATGTTACTACACGTGCAGCTGGTGTGAGGTGTAGCTTTCAGCTGAGACTGTAACTTTGTTGCTGTTTCCATAAATTTCAGAAAAATATGCCGCAACTGCAAATGTGGCCAAGAAGAGCATGATGTCCTCACAAGCAATGAGGAAGATCGGAAAGTGGGCAAACTCTTTGAAGATACAAAATACACAACCCTTATTGCAAAGCTGAAGAATGATGGCATTCCCATGTATAAACGCAATGTAATGATACTGACTAATCCAGTGCCCGCAAAGAAGAACATATCCATCAATACTGTGACTTATGAGTGGGCTCCTCCTGTTCAGAATCAGACACTTGTAAGTCCAACCCACTTTTTCTTCATGTTGAAGGCAGGAGTTGATGGGAGATAGAGAAGTAGAGCTTACCGGAAGGATAAATTTACCTCTTGTAGTCATTCTGTGTGTACCTCTTCTTTTCATCCTCTTCAAAACTGAAAATGTGGTGCCTGTTTAATGAGTCTTGCCTGTGTCATCTTGCAGGTATGGATGCTTATCTGTGGAACTTCTTGAGAACTGGGGAGATGAGGTGGTTTTTAATAGCTAGGATTAAGTGTTAGCTGCTAAGTCCCTGGAGTCCAATTTCTCTAACCTGCCTTTTTAGTACACTTGAAAAATTTGCATGGAGTGTGGGTGTAAAAGGAAAAAAAAAAAAAAAAACCAACCCCACAACAACTTATGTCATTGTTTAAAGTTAAGGGGAACGCTCAGTCTTGCATATAGCTTTTACTGTATATGGTAAGAACAAGGTCAGTGTTGACATCTAAAAGAGCAACTCTCTTCCAGTATGTTTTCAGCTGAAGTAGATGAGATGGTAGATAGCCTTCTGCGGATTTTGCTTCACTTTTCAAATCTTGATTGCTAATTTACTGTACTGCAGTGTTGTGTGATCCATGCCGGAATCATATTATCTCTGACCTACCCCTCAAAATATCCTTTTTCAGTGAATTAATCAAACCTTGTGCATCTAAACCAACTGTTACTTAGCATTCAGTTACCACTTTGATTTTTAGGCTTGTTCCTGCAGTATTAAAACTAGAGCTTTTTTCTTTATTTAGCTAGAATTATTTCTGCAACGGGCTCTGTGCCCCAGGCAAACTATTTCAGCTTCTACTTTTTAAAGCTATACTGATGATCAGTAGTTTTAGATAGCTTTGAAGAGACAAGGTGCTGTGTAAATGTTAATTATTATTTACTCTGAGAAGTAATAACGCTATACTGTAAAAGGCTTAAAAGGAAGCCTGTCTCTTACTCTGGGAAGAAGCCAATTAATGCATCTGCTATATTTGATCTCCATCTACTGTGTTTTGGGAGCTTAATGTTTATGGAAAGAACCTTGTTTTTGACAAATTTGACTGTCGCTAACAACAGTAGAGATGATTTTGGTTGCGTGTTTGCTTAAAAGGATGGGTCTATAGTTGAAGCGGCATCTGATATCTAATTCCTCCTGGTTCAGGCTAGACAGTATATGCAGATGCTACCCAAGGAGAAGCAGCCTGTTGCTGGCTCGGAAGGCGCGCAGTACAGGAAGAAGCAGTTGGCTAAGCAGCTGCCTGCTCATGATCAGGATCCTTCAAAATGCCACGAGCTCTCCCCCAACGAAGTTAAGCAGATGGAACAATTTGTGAAGAAGTACAAAAATGAGGCGCTTGGCGTAGGAGATGTCAAGCTCCCTGGTGAGGTGGAAACAAGAGCTACTGAGAAGAATAATGTGAACAATGGTGACAGAGGCACCTCAGCTGCCGTAGGAGCGATGGAGGACAAGTCCCCAGATTGGAAGGCATCTCAGTATGTAAGTATAAGAAAGGAAAGATAAAACAAGAAGGTGTATTACTATCCAAGTGCTCTCTTTGGTCGTTTTAACCCAATTAACTTGTTTGTTAACTTGGAATGGTGAAAATCTGGGGAGGGAAATAAAGAAGGGGAACTGGAAAACATGGTGAATGTCTGCACAGAACCCTGGTTTTTGACTGTATTTAGTGCATTGCAGCAGACAATTTCCTAAGCAACCTTTTCAACCTCATTGCAAAAACATGTTAGCTTGGAGATATAGTATAGCAGGGTGGCTTTTGCAGGAAAATAATCAAGAAACTTGTGTAGACTTACAGACTAATTGCTACACTTTTCTCCTCTTGAAGAGTTTAGTTTAATTTTAGAAGCCTGTTTTCTCCTCTTTCTTGGAAGAGCACCAAAATTACCCGCTTGACAAATTGTGTTTAAAATTAAATGAAACTAAGAAATAATAAAGTAACACCTCTCCCTCCCATGTCCAACAAGCAAAGCTGTATAACGGCTGTTTTGACTAGCTGCCTTTCCATTCAGATCTATTTTTTTTCTTTGATCTGTTATTTTCTTTGGCATCTGATTTCTGCCTTGCAATAGTTCAACAAAAATAAGGTATGTAAAATTGCCCAGTCTTCATTGATATTTCTAAAACTATTGCCTTAATAAAGTATTTCTGACATAACTTGCTAACTGTTGCTGTGCATGTCTCGGCTACCGATTATGAATATGAAATAGGGGTAGGATTACTGAAGTAACGTTAAACACTTCAGAGTGGCAAAAGCTCCTGTAACTTGATTTATTAAGTTATTTTTGCCACTATCTTGTCGTGGAGTTTCTAAGATACTAAAAAATTATTTTATTGTGGCTTGATTAGGTTGCTGTCATTTTGTGTAACCCAGCCTCTCCTGCTGGGTTACTTTAGTTTCATCACAGCAACTTTTCACTTACCTCCTCAAGAAAGACCTACAAAAATACACACCTTGCATTGGACCCTGCTGGCCAACTGGCTTGGACTGTGTGAAGTCAAGGGCAGGAGGCACTCTGTCCTCTTGAGTATTTGTATCAAAAGGTGCTTCATTTTTACATTACATGTATTTATCACTTCTAAAGTCTTCTTTACTCGAGCACCTGAGTATACTACCTACTGTTTAGGCCAGGCATCTCATCACTGCGCACAGTGATTTAGAAAGAGGCTTAGAAGTGTTCAATAGTGTAAGTGAACATTTGAGTTGCTTATCTATCAGTACCTATTGTTAGGTACTGAGTTTACCCTGGACTATATAATCAGGATTTAGATATATTCTTTTATTATATTTAGATATATTCTTTTAAAGTATTTTTTGTATGATTTCTGCAAGACTTAGCTGAGACTTAGTCTCAGCTATATGCTGTAGCATCATCTCAACTTCTTTTCTTTAACAGTTCAGAATAAACCAATACAGAGAAGATCTCTTAAATACCTTGCAGAAGAATTGCCATCCCTGTCTACACTTTTTTCTATCCATTAGTGCTGCATCTTTGTTCTCCAAATTTTCTTGTACGTTGTCTTTCGAACTGAGTCTGAAAGCATGTATTCCTGAGGCTGTGGTAAATAAAATGAATTTTTCAAGAGATTCTGTTATAGGAATGGATTGCAATTCTTTTAAACATGATTAAAAAAACAAAACAAAAACCAGGTCTCCACTATTAATGTAAATATACCAATAATAATTGCCTCTGTTTAAAAAAAAAATCTATTTCACTGTGATTAAAAGCTGAATAACAGAAAAATGGATATTAAGCATATTTTCATCTTGTAAAGAAGCAAATCTCTTTATGCGCCTTTTAACCACCTAGGCTGGGGATGTTGTAAATGGTAGGTAAACTGTCTTGCCCTGGCTTAGGTCCATACAACTACTACACCTTCCAATTGACTCCTCTTGGAGTATGAGGTCTAAAGTAGAAAGAAGAGTCAAAAAGCTTTATATATGTATATATTTACACTTCCCCTTTCATTAGTTCCCCTTTCATTCTGTTCCAAGCTGTTCTTCCTCCCTTTCTGATGTCTATGTATATTTTGAAATTGCTTGTCTGAAACTAGTGTGGGGATCTGATCAATATGCCTTACAGCTGAGACACTTTTAAAAAAAAAAACCAAAACCCAAACATATGTATATGCACAATTGAAAACTGAGTCCATTTGTGGCTGGGCTTGTAGTGATGTGAATCATAGAGAAAACCTTCCCAGGGTGTTCAGGCCAGTCCACAGACCAACTGGAGCGCAGGAAATGCCAAACTGGTGATTAAACTGTAGAATTAAAAATTTTGTTTCAGTAACATAAACCACCTGCATTTTTTGACTTGATGACAAAACCCTCTCTGTAAGCAGGTATAGGGCAGGAGACTGACTATGAACATTTTGGAACTATTTGTAGTGTAGCTGTGTTCATAAACTTTGTAGTCCCTTTTCCATAATCACTCTCCCCATCCTAAGATCATTAATCACAGACTATTGGACAACAGCCATGAGTGACAAGCATCCCTAGAACACAGTTTTAAACAGAATGAGTTTGAAATATTCACAATTTCTTTTTTCTCACTAATGATGCAGATATGGCTTGATCTTCTCACGACCTATAAGTACAGCCATTTTCTTGTCATGTGTTCTAGTCCATAGTCTACTCAGTCAGCTTTGGAGGCTTCTTATTATTCTCTCCTTATTCTTGAGCATGCAAGGCTCATAGAACATAACATGAATTTTAATTGTGGTGTTTGTTTTTTTTAAAAACTGGACTGTAGTTGCAAGAATGTGAATATGGCAAAATACAACAATCCATTGAAGTAGCACTAGTGCTATGTCAGTAGAATGTACAACATTTTGAATTGTTAGTTAAACCTGTACTGTGGCATCATGTCACACTACTGTCTGATCATGGGAGTAAACTAATGCTTTAATTGCAGTCTGGGAAGGTGGGATTTATTAAATATGTCAGTAATATGTAATTGCTATAAATGTACCTCTTTGAAGACCTATTTAACTCGGTAATAACTTCTTTCCAGTCCTGCTATCGCTGCAAACTGAACATGAAAGAAGGTGACCCAGCTGTCTATGCAGAACGTGCTGGATATGACAAATTGTGGCACCCAGCTTGTTTTGTCTGTTGCACCTGCAGTGAACTTCTAGTAGACATGATCTATTTCTGGAAGAATGGTAACCTGTACTGTGGAAGACATTATTGTGATAGTGAAAAACCCCGCTGTGCTGGATGTGATGAGGTAGGAAATACCCTACTCCTTCGTTTTAGTATACAAGTTTGCTCCCCTGAGAAGTGAATATGACTTCTAGTAAAATATTTCAGTGCAGGGAGATGACATGCCTTCATCAGTTTTAGCTGATCGTAGTTGCAAGGAACTGAAACTGATATGGACACTCTACATTCAGGAAGATCTATAGTTTGCTTTGGATTTGGTGGGGACTTTGTGCAGTCTACAGGGACGTAGGATGTAATACATGAGTACAAATCCTTCTACGAAGTCCCAGTTATGCAGCTGTTTCCTCACGAAGGGCACTAGGGGGAGCGCCTTACTAAATTACACCTTGTGTGGCATACAGAGAACAGCCTGCCTGGTGTCTTTGGCATCTATTGGCTCTTAATAAAGGAAATTGAGGCTTTTGGAAAACAGTCAAACAAGTGAATGCATTTGTTTTTGTTGATGAAATCTTTTGAAACAATGGAATCACCAGGAGTTCCTTGAAATTACAAAACATTCTGAGGCTAGCTCTATTAAAAAGATATACTACTTAAATGCATATATTAATATTTGTTTGTATCTTCCTCATAGCTAATATTCAGCAATGAATATACTCAAGCGGAAGGTCAAAACTGGCATCTGAAACACTTCTGCTGTTTTGACTGTGATTGTGTTTTGGCTGGGGAAATCTATGTAATGGTGAATGACAAGCCAGTCTGCAAACCCTGCTACGTGAAGAACCATGCTGCGGTAAGATCCTTCCACACGTGTTGGTGCTGTGAAGGAAGGGAATGTACATCTGTGGAGCTTGAAACTCTTACTTTCTCCCAGTGTGGGAGTATCCGAGGAGTATAAATCGAATGCAAGTTTAGGCTCAAGTCAACCATCTTTTTCCCTTTTGAAAAGAACCTTAAAAGCAGACAAGTATTTTGACAATTCATAACTTGAACAAAAGCCACTGGCTGGGGGGAGGCTGTTCTGAAAAATACCTTTAACTTTGCCAGTGGTGAAGCAGGATTTTGTAACAGGAGGAGTAAAGTAGGTGAAGATGAATAATGCTGCTAAACATTTAGTTCGTGTCAATCACAGTTCACTGTGACCAGTGGGATTCAACTTCAGCTGGTCTGCTAAAAGCCTGTAGTGGCAACTGCAATCTAGGTACTTTGTTTCTTTGTATTTCTAACTATGTGAGTTATAAAGGAGAGTGACTGATGGGATGAAGCTAGAAGTTTGGGTAAGGATGGTAGTTCTCAATTCCTAGTTATGCTAGGAACTAATCTGAGATGATGGTCCATTCGTATCTACCAATTAATGAGCTATTAGTTGGGAGTTCAGTCTAATGTGCATCTAGACTGTTTATATAGTTAATAGAGGGAAAAACTGTTATCTCTAGCTGGCAGTTAATAATGTTCTGAGGTAGGTGTCAGGAATTACCTTTTGGAGAGGCTTTTTTCTCTTAAAACATTAACTTTATTGAGATCTAAATGATAATTTTTGACAACCAGATTTTAAGATGAGTTACATCCAAGACTTTCTAGAAACCTTTAATTCTTTGGCGTTGCTTTACAGCTGCCAACACACAGGAAGATTTGTAACTAATCTCTTCAAATGTATGGGTTCATATATTAAGTTCTGTGCTGTTTGGCACAAGTTTTTATCATTATTTGGGCATTGGGAAAACCTAACCATCATAAGTGTCTAAGTTTAGTCCCTACAGCAGCTAACTTCTTTTGTGCGTTTTATTATTTTGTTTTGTGTCCTCAGCTGCATTTTGGTCAGAAACTCTGCTTTAAAAATAAAGGAAAATCAAAAGCTGGAGACTTATTTCAACAGCTTTTTTTAACACCCGTTTCTCTTTTCCAACAACACTTAAGAATTCCAGCTTTTATTGGACTTGTAGAGGGGATATGTATACTTCATTTAAGTGTCATTTTGTTTCTAAACAGACCTGCCAAGGCTGTCATAATGCTATAGATCCAGAAGTTCAGCGTGTGACATACAACAACTTCAACTGGCATGCTATATGCTTCTTGTGTTCCTGTTGCAGCAAGTGTCTAATTGGCCAGAAGTTCATGCCGGTGGAAGGAATGGTCTTTTGCTCAGTGGAATGTAAGAAAAAGATGATGTCTTAAGAGAAGATATGCACAGAACCAAGCATTGCTGCGTTCCAAAGGCTCTTGCATTTCTACTGTAAAATATATAGAATCGGGGCATTTAAAGTTATTGAAAGTATTAAATAGCATTTTCCCAAAGATTTTTTCTGAATGACTAAAACTTGCTATGTAATCTTCATTTCTTAGCCGTAATAATACTTTCTTTTTTGGAACATTGTTCCTGAGTCTTATGTCAAATGATTTCTTATCCCAGAAATGTAAGAAAAAATGTGTTATGAACTATATACACTTTAAGGGAGCTCTTCACTGTGAAGGATCTTTTGCTGTATCTTGTCTAGTGGAAGAAGAAAATGTGAAAATGCTCCAATTTTTCTTGTTTTGTATGATAAATGTAACTCTTCCACTTTTGGTTTCACTAATTTATCATTTTTATAGTTTCCCTGCTTTCATCAAGCACTTTAGACAAAATGATCAGCTTTACCAACACATACAGTTTTCACTAGACCTCAAGTATGCAGGGAGAATGAAGCTTAAAAAAAAAAGTAGCCTGTAATCACTTGCTTGTTGTTCACACATGAGTTCAAGGGATGGTGGCTGCTCTCACATCTAGTTTGTAAAGTAACTCTGCACCAGTAGAAAACAGCGTTGGCTCACGTTTCTCTCTCTTAAACTGTTCATGCCTGCAAAAGTTTTCATTTTACGAATGTTGAAGTTACTTTACAGGTTTATTTGGGGGGGAGGGAGGGGAGGAGAAAATATGAGGAGGTCTTGCCCAGATTTAAAAAAAAAATACATTTAAAAATCCACCAACATTAGTGGGTGTCACTCTTATCCTTTCAGAACTGGCTTCTGTTTTTTTCATGAATGTTCTTCTCATAAATTGTGCCTTCTATCAGAAGGACATGGCACCCAATACCATATGCATTTCCAAGAATGTAATTCTGCAAAAGGATCATACTTAGGCTTTTGATTGGTAAGTTCTTAACCAAAGCACAAAGAAGTCTTTCCCAGAAGATTTCCAGTACTTGAGTGAAAAAAAAATCACAGCTGTGTATTAGCTTTGCTCACTAGATAAACCAAATGTGTGGTTCGTTCTTTTTCTTAAGAATTACAGATCTACAGTGAAACTTGTTAGCTGTCTTTGTGCCAAACAGTGAATGGAGAGTCTTTGGCCTAAAAAAATAAAATTAAAAAAAATAATCTATGCAATCTTATGTTCAGCTCTTTTTTTAAGTTTTATGGTGGCTGTATTGTAACACTTACAAATAAAAATTAGTGTTGTTCACTTGAGTTGTCTACTAAATCTGTTCTTGTTGAATCCCCTTTAGGGGGAAGGCAAAGAGGGGGGGAAATGTTTCCATACTTCCCTTTAGCTTTGACATTATTTAAAAAAAAAAACAACTTAGAGCCTGTATTACTGTAAAGTGCTTACTGTCTTGTGTAATATTGTCGATGTGCTTATAAGTGCAAAACAATAGGTCTTGTTCCAACAAATACACAACTTCAAAACTTAGTGTGAATTTAATTTTTGTTCACATAACCTGTGGCCTTAATTATGTTTTAAGGCATAGCATGGGAAGTTTTGAATTCACACAGGTGAGCTAATGTCCTGCGAAAATAAAGTGCATTGTGATACTTTGAGTACTGCAAAAATAAGACACTGGTGTGAGATACATACTTTGTGTGTTGTCTAAATTGAGATGTAAACTTTATGTCTGTGTTCTGGAAGCCTGTACAGCTTTTCCCAGGGAGCCTCAGGATGTACAAAAAAGTGTATGTCTTTCAGTTCATAGCAATGGGGCTGTATTCTTGCCAGATTTGTAGTTTTAAAAAAAGGAAAACCAAGATGCCTCAGTAGGAGAAGGTATTTCCATTTTTTCCATTTAAGTGCTCCTTAATTTGTAGCAGGACGTGCTGTGAGAATGCCATTTGTGGGGTGGGATAAGGCCTTATTTAATGTTTATCTATAAGGATGGCTTAATAGTGTCTGGGTTTTACTTGTCTTGAGTAAACTTTACTTGTCCTCACCCACTTACTAATATCTATTCTAGAAGATGCAGCTGATCTTTATAAAGAACTCTTTGTGAAAAGCTGTTGTGCAACTTTCCCTGCCCCTCTCTTGCCACCCTGTGTAACAGCTGTATTGCTCCTTAATGTGATTGCTTGCACTGATGGCAGTCTTACTTTTCACATTAAATCTTGTTCTGTGCAGTTTTGTTTGTTAAACTTTATTATTATGTAACCTTCACGTAAAAAGATGAGCCCGCACTACCTCAGGACTTACTCCACCAAGACAGAATTGCTAAGGAAATTCATGTCAAACCAAACATCTCAATAAGCCATCATCTTCTGGGACTGGCTTTTTGCCTCTTCTGAAGCATGTTGGCTTGCTGCCTTTAGCTAGCGCTCCTCTTGAGAAGCTTAATCTTCCCTTGCCTGCTTGCTCCCTTCTGGCTCTCTTCCCTGGAACCTGATGCATCTAGGTGTTTCTGCTACGGGGTAGCCAAAGTTTAATCTCTGTCCATGCAGTAATTGGAAAGGGTCATGTCATAGGAAGGTCAGGTGTAATGTGCAGATGATACAGAGGGGAGACAAAGATACTGCTGTGTGACTACGCAATAGATCAGGAGATGATTAGGAGTGCTAAACAGCTCTTGTAATGAGCTAGGAAGGAATTTATGTTCCTGAAGATAATGCTTTTAGTGTTAGCTGAAAGATATGTCAACATGCTGGAGCTTAAATACAAGCATTAAGGAGACTTCATTCTGTCACTATCATAATAAAAATATTGGCAGTTAAGTGTTTTCTTTTTTTTTGTTCTCTTATTTTTTGGCTATGTTATCATGGAGATCCCTTTGGATCTATTTATCTTAGTAAGCTAAGAATAGAAGCTGGAAGTACATACTTTACAGATGAAATTTTGAACTCAAAGTATGAAAGTTGAAGTTCTACCCTTAAGCCTTATAAGCACTTGTTATACCAACATATTCTTCTTTTCAGAAATAATTGGCTGCAAGAAACAGCCCGAAGAGGCACTTAGCTCTATTTATCATGCCACTGCCTAAGTGACATACTTGATTTTAACTCTTCACATGTTGAGCACCAAATGAAGACAAAAGATTCACAGCAGAAGACACATTTGGCTGTGTCACTATCGGCATGTGTGAGAAGGAAAAGCCCAAATTTACCTTCAGGATGTAATTTGCTCCCTGTCTTAGCTTTCTGTTGTGTGTTGTATGTTAGGTGGCTACTGTGACAATGTAGGTTGTTAGACTCTAAGTTTGAGGTTTTAGAGTTGTTTTTAGCAACTAGCTGTGGAGAATAAGTAGAACTGTACAGTAGAACAACAACTTTTAAAATAGAGATTAAACAAAAGTGGGGTGTAGCTTAAGCCATTGCAGCAGAGGGCACCAGAGAGACCATCCTGTCACTGACCTAACTGGGACATCTGGGAACTTGATTCTTCTTTTTAGTATAGCAGTAGCAGTCAGCCTTTTCAAAGAACCCCTAAAATCATCAGGTTTCTGTCTGTTTGCATTTCTAACACACCCTGAAATTTTGAAATTTGCCTAGTGCCCAAAAATGGCAGACAAGGTGAAATGCCATTGAGATTATTATTAAGTCCTGCTTTGCTTAACCTGTTTGTAACCTTCATTGGAGTGTCTAGGTATTGCCTGTTGGATGACCACAGAGCCCAGGAGCCTTCACCAGCACCACAAGCATTGCGACACAGCATCTTCGGTGCCCCAAGAGCAAAGGAGGTCTGTGGCACTCTGAGCATATATAACTCCCGTTGCTTTTCAGGACATACGGATTTGTATGCACATGGAGGGCTCTTAGCACACTTACGTTTAATCTCTTTTTAACCAGTTTATATAGTAAAATTTACTTGTGTATGTCACTCCAAATATTAGTGTGTTAATTGGAGTCTTTACAGCATCAATGAAGAAAAAGTGGTGATGCCATAGTAGCTCTTTTGGTACAAAGAACAAGATTTTCCTTATTGTTTATGGCTCACTGCTACAAAAATAGATTTTATGTGAACTCCAGGCAAACCATTTCCTTTTTCTGGGATGAGGCAAAGTCAAGGCCGAGTCAGTGCTATACTGGATGGTATTCTAGAGGGCACCTTAGCATACAGATGCAGTTAGCTTTGGATTTCATGAGACTGCTACTACCATTATATAGTCAGAATCCAATATTGCCTTTTGTTTAAGGAAGTGTTATCCTGAGCATCTGTAAAGTCCAGGGTGGCAAAGGCTTTGTCAAAACCACAACACCTATAACTTTAAAAGAATGAAGCCAAATAAATGCGTCTTTGAATTAGGAACATATATTTATACATGGTAGGAATAACCTGTAACTTTTATTGAGGTAGGATTGCATCTCAAACTTACTATGATTATACGTATACTAGAAAGAAAAGGAAAACATGCTTTGAGCAGCTTTTTATATGTATGTTTAACCTCTGGAAATCTAATGTTTCTGTCTCTCAAAATTACATGCTCATGAGCAAAACCAATACAGCAACTTCCCCTCTTCCCGCAGAATCATGGGTGTTGAGTGTTACAGAACACGGTTGATGGTGTGAAGCAAAATTTTCTGGCTTTGCTGGAGTAATGGCCATTGGCACAAAACTGTTTACATTCAGGACTAACTTGAGGTGCTTGGAAGCTCTAGACCATCCATTCCCAGAACTGGTGAGGTAGGGGTGGGAGGGTGTTAACGCTTGGTTCAACAACCTCTGCCAAGTTTAGCATGGTTTTGGGATGCTAGAGCTAGCAGTGAGTGGCAAAGAGGAGGTTGGCAGTCCAGGAAAGGGTCAACAATTCAACTAGCAGCAGGCTCCCCAAAAGAATAGGGGCACAATGGCTGTCCTATAAGAACAGGATGAAGGGAGCTAGTATAAGGATGCAGCAGTTCAAGGGCAGGGACTTGCTCCAAAAATTTGAGCATTTCTGTATGATGTCCTCAGGTCCTGGGTGTGCTCTCCCACCACAGCAGAGCCCTGTGGCATCTCAGTGGAAAGCCATCATAAAAATCATCTCCACAAGAGCAGACCACTGGGGCTAATGTGGTGGTCTCCTTTCCCAGCCCAAG